TCTCTCTCTCTCTCTCTCAGACGCAAGCATGATTATGTCAAGTGTCCTCCAAGGCATCCAAGGAGAATAGCTAACTCTGTTTTGGAGAGGGAAGAGAAGAGCAAAGCAGGCAACAATAAAAAGCACGGTGTCTTTGAAAACATCTAGAAGATAAGCTATTTCCAACAGAGGTTACTATAGTTTATCCCATGATATAAAAATGTCTGCAGTGGGAAAGAAACTCCAGAAGCTCAGCCATAGGAAGCTAGTCATGGAGAGAAAGTTCAATCAGGAACTCTACCTGACAGCCTCATCTTTCCTAATTGGCTACTGTGTTTGACTTGATGATGTTATCTCTATCTATTACTATTTGTTAATTTACTCTGAAGCCTCACCTGAGGGGCCACCCTTTTCTACCCACAATGTTCTCTACTGGAAACCCCAACTTCCTGACTCAATAGGTTTTCCCTGTTGATTTCTGCCAAATGTTTTCAACACTTGATCTAATGACATTTTGTTATGTGTGTGTGGGGGGGTGCATGTATCTAATGATCATCTGTCTATCTATTTACCTACCTACTTACTTCCCTATTGACATCTAGTATCTTGATGCCCTGTTTGTTTGTTTGTTTGTTTGTTTGTTTGTTTTAATTTTATGTGCACTGGTGTTTTGCCATGGGTGTCAAGTCCCCAGGAACTGAAGTTACAGACACTTGTAAGTTGCCATGTGGTTGCTGGAAATTGAACCCAGGTCCTCTGGAAGCACAATCAATGCTCTTAACCACTGAGCCATCTATCCAGCCTCCATCTATTATTTTATTGTGGCTTGCTATAAACTTAATGAGTTCACTCATTGAAAACATATTGTAGATCATTCTGCAAACCATAGAGAACAAACAGATTCTCCTACAAAAAGTTATAACTAAATATTTAAATGTAGAAATAAAGACTCCAATCCTGGCTGGCAGTATTATTTAGCATGTAATACAGGCCTGGAAATCTGTGATAAATCTCCTACACCCAAATAAAAATGAAAAGAACACACTCCATGAAGTTATCTTCTGACTGCCACACGTGTACCATGACATATGCATGCCTGTATGTACTCACACATATTCAGACAGAAATAATAAATCACTTTTTAAAAATCTCAAATCTTTTAGAAATCTTAATATTCTATTATAAAACAAACAATTCATCTATTTTAAAAAGCAGAATTCTCAAACAATGAAACTACCAGACCTTTTTCACAAACCCTTTATGACAGACACATGAGATAGATTTAAATATATTCTGAAATGGTAATTGTTAATGGTAGTATTAGTAAAGAATATACAAATGGAAATGAATAAAAAATCAAGTGGTATATGTTTCAGTTGGTTTCACTGTGAAATCTATCATTTGTAATGCTGGTAAATATTTCTGGTTTATATATTCTGTCATCTGAACAGTTAAATTTTACATATCAGGAACTTTGTCTTGTTAAGTACTATATCTCCCATTTGTAGCATAAAGTTTGACATAAAGAAAGTACATAACATAAGCATTTTAAAATTAAATTTCTTACCCCACATCTGACAGAGGGCTGATCTCTAAAATTTACAAAGAACTCAAGAAGCAAGTCTCTAAAACACCAAAGGATCCAATTAAAAAGTGGGCTACAGAACTACATAGAGAATTCTCAATAGAGGAGTCTAAAATGGCTGAGAGGCACTTGAGAAAGTGCTCAACATCCCTAGCCATCAAGGAAATGCAAATCAAAACAAGTCTGAGATACCATCTTACTCCTGTCAGAATGGCTAAAATCAAAAACACCAATGACAGTTTATGCTGGAGAGGATGTGGAGAAAGGGGAACACTCCTCCACTGCTGGTGGGAGTGCCAACTTTTACAGCCACTTTGGAAATCAGTATGGAAATTCATCAGAAAAATGGGAATAAGCCTACCACAAGACCCAGCAATTCCACTTGTAGGCATAAATCCAAAAGATGCACGTTCATACAATAAGGATGTCTGTTCTACTATGTTCGTAGCAGCATTATTTGTAATAGCCAGAACTTGGAAGCAACCAAGATGCCCCTCAACTGAAGAATGGATAGAGAAAATGTGGTACATTTACACAATGGAGTACTATTCAGTGGGGAAAAAAATAGAATCCTGAAATTTGCAGGCAAATGGATGGCACTAGAAGAAACCACCCTGAGTGAGATAACCCAATCACAAAAAGAGAAACATGGCATGTACTCTCTCATATATGGATTTTAGACATAGATCTGGGGAGTGCCAGCCTACAATCTTACTGCCAGAGTCTGGGAAACAAAACCTTCATTCAAGAGCTGATGGAAGCAGAGGCAGACTCCCACAGCTAAACACTGAGCTGAACTCAAGGAATCCAGTGACAGACAGGGAGGACTGATGAGCAAAGGGGTTAAGACTGGGCTGGTTTAACCCCCAGAAACAGCTGACCTGACAACGGTTACCTCTCAAATCTCAGACTGATGGCTGGGAATCCAGCATGGGACTGATCAGGGCCCCCTGAATGTGGGTGTCAGTGAGGAGGCTTAGGCAATCTATTGGGCCATGGGTAGTAGATCAGTATTTATCCCTGGCATACAAATGGACTTTGGGTGCCCATCCCACAATGAGAGATGCACTCTCACCCTGGAGTCTTGGGGAAGGGTCTAGGCCCTGCCCTGGATGAAATGACAGACTATGGACACCCCATGGAGGGCCTCACCCTCCCTGGGGAATGAGCGGGTACTGGGGGGGGGGGTTGGTGAGAGGGCGCGGGAGGAGGGGAGGGAAAGGGAGAGGGACCTGGGATTGACATGTGAAGCAACCTTGTTTCTAATTGAAATTTAAAAAAATTTTAAAAATTAAATTTCTTATTACAATGTTTGTGTGTTGTCTCACAGGAGATATCAGGCTTGACAGTAGGGAACTGTACATGCTGAGCCATCTTCTTGGCCCAGACTCATGCTTTATAAATCAAAGCAATGCAACAGAAGAAGGCCTTATAATTTCACACTGTAACAATACCTAATATTTACTAAGCACCTCCTATACACTGATCACTATTTAAGAACCTTAACATGGTGAGTCGAATTACTGCATTTCAATTCCTTCTAGTATGTTTATGAACTCCATTTTCCAGAAGCACCTGAAGCATCCAGAGTTTCAGGAATTTGTTTAAGGTCATTCCATTAAGAAGTGATGGAGTCTGGATTCAAAGGCAGTGTGGCTCTAGAGCCGAGGCTCTCAATGATACTTACATACTATGTCTCTTTTTCTTTTCCATTTGACCACTAAGCCCTATTATTTTATAATTCAATTTAGCAATAAAGTTCAAGTTATACAAAGATACAAAGCAAAATAGCTGTGAAGAGCAATATAAAGTATTATGATTATGATTGCTTTGTTCTATTTTATTGGAAAAGAAATTATCTAAAATTTATCCTGTCATTTTTAAATGCACCAATATCAAAATTTTATCATTAGATGAAAAAATACCTTCAACATTTAAATAATACAACATATATAAAATTATTGTTTAGTGGCAGTTTAAGCGAAGTGGCCATTAGTAGTCCACATATTTTTGGTCATGAGCATTACTGACAACTATCCTTAAGAGTCCTTAGTGACAGATGATCCTGAAAACTGGCAAATATTATTCCAAAGATTAACACATGGATAAACAAATATCACTACTTGGCTGGATTTTTTTAAAAAATTCTATCATAGTATACTTTGTTAGTTCCAAAGACAACCATGAGGGCTAGTGACCTATACAAAAATGGAAATATGACTACAATGTGCTTTGAGTAACCTAAAAGTACAGAGCAACAGCACACATCAAGAAAACAAAGTTTTCTTACCAATTATCCACTATCAATAAAATAACTCATATGTACCTAGCACCTATAATTTATAGAGAACTTCTGCATGAAGTTTTGTTTCCTTAACTCATTGCTACTTAGAAATACCATGTCTATATGAGAAAATAAGAGAGAAAAAGGAAAAAACGGGAAGGAGAGACAAAGAAGAAGAAAGAGGCAGAGAGCAGGGCGGTGGTGGAGCACGCCTTTAATCCCAGCACTCGGAAGGCAGAGGCAGGCGGATCTCTGTGAGTTCGAGGCCGGGCTGGACCGATAGCCTCCAAAACAATACAGAGAAACCCTGTCTCATAAAAACCAAAAAAAAGAGGCAGAGAGAAAAAAAGGGAGAAAGATTAGTTTGAGGCAAGCCCCCAAAAAGAACCAGATGGAGAAATATGTAACAGTACTCTGGTGACATTTTCACTCACTTAGTGAAAGTATAGTCCAAAAAGAACTTTTTATTTTAGTGTCTCTATTGATTAACATGTCTGTATGATAATAGCAGTGATAATGTTAAAGAATATTATTAAGAGCTGGATCATCTAGATAGAAGATTTACCATGAAGCTAGCTGATATTCTAAGACTTAAGTATATACTTGTAAAACATTGACCTTAACACACAAATTATAATTGCTAAACCTAATTTGCCTACTTATTTATAAGGCTATGTTATATAACAAAGTTAGTAAATGCTCCTTTAGAGAATTAAAGCATTTAGAATAGCATATCATAAACCTGTAAACCAGTGCTTGAAAGATTGATACAGGAAAACCCTGAAAGAGATACATACAAGACTTTGTCTTACATACATATAAGACTCTGTCCAACAAACCAAATCAACAATAACAACAACCACGACACAACATTTAAGTTGATGGATAATTTTTTTAATTTAGCCAATCATGAATTTTTGTTATAAATCAAAGAAAATCTCATCTATATAATATTCACCAATTTATGTAGGGGGTTAGTACTAGAAAGCATCATTAGATGAGTCAATCAAAAGGTATTAGAATATGATAATCTTAAAAACATACCTTCTACTAAAGTACAATAATCACTAAGAATTTCCAGTCACTTGTCACTCATTCCTTCTAAAATTATTTTTTAAAGTTGACATAGAAAGGCTTGGTATTCATTCTTACCCCTTCTTTTGGGTCTGTGTGGAGTCCTCCTCCTGCGTGCCCATGCCAACATGTTCTCTTTTCTATCAGTGGCCATGCCTGGAGAGCCTAGGTAAAAAGATACCAAGCAGAATTTCAGGTGCCTTAATCTAAACTATCCCTAAAATACATTCAAAGGCACTGCACCTACTCTGGCACAGTAAAGCAAAACACTTTCAGAATTAGATTATAGCTAAGTTTGTACAAGAAATATTTAAATATAACAAATACTCATGTTACTTTTTCTAAATAGCTTTTGAAATTAGTTTAAGTGACTTACCTAACACTATAGTTTTACTTAATTTATCCTGACTCCCTCAATGTCACTCACTATAATGCTATAAGCAAGCAGGCAAACAAGGTTAATATAGTTGAAGATTTACATCGCACTTGTTTTTTTCACATACATTTTTATAATTAATAAAATTATACAATTGATCCTTTATCTTATTATTGTACCTTATATACATGTTTAGAAACAAAGTATTTTTAAACTTAATAGTCAGTCTATTTTATGCTATAATATTTTGCATACATTTTTTTCTACTTCATAGTAAATTTCTTAAGATTAGGAACAATACCTTTTGGGTCTTTTCTCTTCTATGGTACACACCACGATATCTTATATATTGGCAAGATAGGCTTCAATGTTTTCTGGATTCATTTAGAAAATAAAAGCTACATATATTCTCCCAAGTATCCTTATATATTATCTTATCTAGTATAAATTTTTCAAATATGTTAATGCTGTTGCTAAAGTCAGAAATTATATAAAATAAAATCATTTTGGAAAATGTAAGAGTTGACAATATAAGAACAATTAGGCTTAACATTCAGATTTTCTAATGCTGAAAGTCTTCATGACTAAAAACACCAAATGAAGTACACAGATTTAATGATGTTTTGCAGTATTCATAACAATCAATAATTAATGAACAAGGGCATAGTTCTTTACAAACACAAATAGCTAAGGAATAAAAATAGAATTACAAAAAGCAAAAGTGCCTTCTTATTGTTACCAGTAAGACATAAAAAGTAATTGTCATGAATGTGCTATCGATTTTTAGATCAACACTCTTAACAGCATTTTATAAGAGGAAAACATCAAAAGGTGATTTTTATTCTGACAGCATCTTTTTCTGACATTTTTTCCTCTAAAAGGCTAAGCAACAAGTTTTAGCAAGGGTTCTGGTGAATATCACACAAGATAGTGAGGTCTTCAACAAAGCAGAAAACTGAAATATAAACAAATTAAGTGGTATCTTGGACAATGAGAAGATTGAACATATTTTCTACTTAAAGATTCAATTTAATAGTGGAAAATAAATTTATTTATACAGTCTCTGAATAAATTAGAACAATGCTTCGTGCCTAAATTGCAAATAGTAATTAAACAGGAAAAAATTAAGTTCCCATGATGTAGATGGTCTCCTAGCTTTTTGGTTTTTTTCTATCATATAAATTTACATATCTTATTTTGAAGCAGTGGTAATTATGAAAGGTATCTTTCACATAAATTAACAATGAAAAATAACCCTCATCAATATTGAAAGTTAGCATCACTTATCCCAATGGCTCTAACAAGCTTAAAATCCCCTGGCAATATGCTATCTGAAAATCTTCTAAGGTAAAGGAACTTTACACACTTGAAAAATGGCAACATTCCATGTATCAGATAGGAATTAGGATAAATTTGAGTGTCAACAAGCTGCCATTACATTTATAAAAGCTTTCTGAAAATGTTACTCTAGTTGGCATTGATCTCAAGGGATTCAGACAGATTTCTGCAGTGGTAGAAAAATACCAAGATTTCTTTTTGCATTCCTAGTAGAAACATACCTTCTGCCAGTATTTAGAAAAAAATCATGAAAAGGGAAAGTATTTGGGAAATGTAAAATATGTAGTAAATATGAAGCAGAAATTGGGAAATGTTCCATGGGCTTGCACACTTTTTCTACTAGATGTAGAAATGTTGGCAAAATCTTACCTTTGAAGCATCTAGTAACTGTCTTGAATTGTCTTTTCCCCATCTCTGCCATGTAGCATTTCTTAATGGCTCTGCATTCTATTGAAGAGATTAAAAAGTGAGGATAGAGTTTGAGTGGTTATTTAAATTTCTAAGATTATTCTTTTGCTCAAAACCATACATAAAATTAAAACCATTGTCAATGTTAGTGAGATGGTTAACACATGCCAAAAAACACAAAAAATGTGAATAGTGTATAAATTATGTTACTCATTAAGATATCCAAGTAGATATTCTTTACATATCCTATCTCCTCTATTGTTCTTGTTTTTAAAATCCTTGCTTTTAACACCCAAAGTCTTCAACATCGCTTCTTTTTTAAATTGTTTTTACACAGTAACCAGTGCCCAATTACATCATATTGCCAGAGCAGAGTTAGAGTTACCTGCCAGGCAGGTACTCTCTTCGCCTGGTCATGGATTCCACAAGAAAAAAAATTTCAGAGAGATGGACTTGACTAAAGAGAAACAACCAGGGGTTAGCTATACTATAACATAACTAGAGATATTGCCATTGGAATATAGATCGGGGAGACAGATATAGAAGTGAGACACAGAAGTCTGAAGCTGAGATGTTCCCTCACACACCCTAGAGTTAATAGCTTGAGAAGACGTCCTCCCTCCCCATTGCTTTGCGCTACATGGGGAATGGGAAAAGTGAGATGCTGAACATTGCACAACCAACAGATGCTGCCAGAAGTCAACTAGTGACAAGTAGGTGGGCCTTCCACACTCCTTCAAAGCCTTAGTCACAGAAAGTTCAATTAGCAGAAAGAACAATCTATAAAACACCAGAAATAAGTTGTAACTAGTAGGTGAGTGGTCTCAATCTGGGGAATTATGGAAAAACCTAATATATACATAAAAATCTAACTTGTTTGAATTACTGAGATTAGCATCTTTCGTCACCTCCCCCACCTGTACAAACCACTACAGAAGACAATCCAGGAGAAGCCACATCATGCTGACTATGAATTATAATGACCAAGATTTTAATATCTTCTATTTTATTTTGTCTTATTTTAATTCTTTTAACCCTAGACTTTTATGCTGTAAATAGTTGTTTTGTTCCAGCTTGCATGATGCCTGAACAGGCTCTTAAGATTGTCTCCCCCCCCCACCTCTGTGTATGTGTTTCCTTGTGTTTTCTTGTGACATTGCTAGAAGCTCCCAACCCCTCAGTACCAGAAATCAAACAACAGAAAGAGATTTCAGTCACACATTCAAAAGGCTCAATGGCAAATAAATAATAAATGAAATATGGAAGAAAACATTGCTTATAATCTAACTGAATGGAACAATGACCACCAAGCCATAGGAAATATCAAATCCCTCTCAATGGCAGTATTAAAGACATCATTTAAAACATGCAGTCTAGGTGGCTAGATTAAACAAAAAATAAAAAGAAACAGTTTCTTGTATATAAGCGGAACATAGAGGACTAAAACTAGAAATTAGCATTATGAGAAAGTACAGAAACTACACAGATACTTGGAGACAGAACAATGTATTTTAAAATCAGTATTATATACACAGGAATGTGGGGGTGAAGAGGTGCCTTGGTCCTGCCTCAATGAGATGATGGGACAGACTTAAAGACTTCCCAGGGGAGGCGGGAGGAATGGGGGGAGCAGAAGGACTGAGATTGGAATGTAAAAAATAATTAAACAAGAAATCACAGGTGAGGGGTGGAAAGGAAAAAAAATTAAATAATGAAATACAAAAACATGTAATTAGAAGGGTTAATAATGGGGTAAAAAAGACCAATAAGATGGTGGCAGTCTTGAATTCTTGGCCAGGTTAGTCTAAGACTAGCCCAAATGTTACAGGCTATTGCAACTGCCCTTGGTTCCCTTCTATGGATTGAAGGGAAGCCCCTATTGCAGTTTGGATACAGAACCTGGAGGATCTGAGCTTAATCTGACCTGGAAGCGTCTTTCCTTAGAACTGGCTTTCATGGTACCAGTTGGTACTATGCAAACTACTAAAGTAGGGAAGCAACCAATAGTCCTACCCAGCTATGACTCCAATGTTCCACAACCAGACCAGCAAGGCATAACAAACCTTAAGAATGCAATGATGGTGTGCATATCTTGGTGGTAAACAGCTTTCTAATTGGACTCAAACCCAGCTTAGCAAGAGGGAAATAATTCCTGGTACTGGAATCCTAGCCAACTACCTGAAGCTAGAGAGATCATAGATCTTGGAGGAGAACCTATAATCATCACTTTATTAAACCAACAAAATTCTTAACTGAATTATAAATATTTATTTTAATATCCATAGATAAGTGCATCTCTTACACCTTACCAAAAAAGCTTCTCTTTGCAACAGATGGAGATCAATACAGAAAACCACAACTGGTCAAAATGCAGGTAACAACTGATCATGGAGTGTCCAGCAACAACAGATACATTTAAATCCCAACTCTTGCATCTAAGGCTTGGAAAACATTATGGAATAGATGGCAAAAAGACTCTAAGATCCAGAGGAACAGGAAATCTATAGTGAGAATACATCTCCCTGAACTTTCAGGGAAGCTACACCCATGAAGCCTCAATAACACTACCTAACCAACACCTGAACAAGGAAGACACCGACAGACATGCTAATATGGAAGGGAGAAACCTCATAGGGCCCCAAGCAGAGATAAAGAATTATAGGCAACTAAGGAATGTTGGGAATGGCAGAAATAGATTTCTCCAGGAAGAGCACCCAATTGTTTATGATACCAAGTGGTCAGCCCTGAAAGCATACATACTGTAACATTAAACAGACTGAACAGATAGTATTAATATATTTATGAATATAAAAATACATGTCCACACGCACACAGACACACAAGCACACAAGCACATGCATGCACACATATGTGTGCACCCATACACACATATCAACAACTAAAGAAAACGAAGCTATGATTCTGAGAGTAAGGAGGAATACATGGAAGGAGTTAGAGGGAGGAAAGGGAGAAAATCATGTTATTATAATTTAATTTAAAAAACAAAATATTAAAAATAAAAACGGGACAGGAGGAAAAGGAGACCTTTTTTTTTATTTATTACAGATACAGTTTGTCTGCATGCCAGAAGAGGGCATGCACCAGATTGAATTGTAGATGGTTGTGAGCCACCATGTGGTTGCTGGGAATTGAACTCAGGACCTCTGGAAGAGCAGTCAGTGCTCTTAACCTCTGAGCCATCTCTCCAGCCCCGAGGGGAAACATTCTTAATAAAACGAAAAAATTTCTTCGTGGTAACACCATATGGACATCCCTAAAATTGACAAACATCTATCTGAAATACACATCAACTCAGTGAGAATAAAAGTGATTCTTACGTCCAGCCTCTCCCAAAAGGCAAGCTATGGGCTTTACTAAAGCTGTAAATGGACTATATGCCAATGTTATTTATATACTGCAAAATGCCAAAAGATCCAAATCAACAACAAAAAACTAGCATATGCATAAAAGTAGACACAATACTGAGAAAATAAGTTGACTCTGAAATTCAAGAATCAGTAACTGATATATGTGGTATCCCTGAATCAGGAAAATAGCAGAGAGCTATATGCAAACTATCATGACAAGCCTCTTATTCCAGATCCTCTCCAACAGTTTCACCACAGTAACCAAGCCATCCATCCTCAATGTCTGTTCCAGTTTCATGTCTGTTACTGTGATAAAGTGCAACTATGGGCTGGAGAAACCCACAGAAACAGCTGACTTGAACAAGGGGGAGCTCATGGATCCCAGACTGATAGCTGGGAAACCAGTATAGGACTGATCCCAGAGCCCCTGAACGTGGATGTCAGTTAGGAAGCCTGGACGATCTATGGGGCCTCTGGCAGTGGATCAGTATTTATCCCTAGTGCACGAATGGGCTTTGGAAGCCCATTCCACATAGAGGGATACTCTCTCAGCCTAGACACACGGGGGAGGGTCTAGGTCCTGTTCCAAATGGTATGACAGACTTTGAAGATTCCCCGATGGAAGGCCTCACCCTCCCTGGGGAGCAGAAAGGGAATGGGATAGGGGATCGGTGGGGGCAGGGGAGGAGGGGAGGGAGAGGGAACTGGGATTACATGTAAAACAAGCTTACTTCAAATTTAAATTTATAAAGTAAAAAAAGTAGCCCTCAATAGAAAGGGGCTTACTTCAGTTCACAGTTTCAGGTCATGGTCTGTCATTGTTGGAAAATCAAGGCAGGAACTTCAAACAGCTAGTCAACACACATTCACAGTCAAGAGCAGAGGGAAATTAATTCATGCACGCATACTGTAAGCTTAAATTCATCACTCTTACACAGTTCAGTACCTCATGCCTAGGGAATGACACCACTAATAATGAACTGGGTCTTCCGACATCAATTAACTAAGACAATTACACACAGGAATACCCACAAGGCCAAGAGACTCATGTGCCACGTGATTCTAGGTTGTGTTAGGCCAACAATTAAAATTAACTGTCCCAATGCTCTTCTGGCACTTCACTGCTCTCCTCGCTGTTCTTCTCCATGTTCAGACCTTATACAAGCTTTATTCCATCTTCCTGTTTCTTGTAAGCTCCTAACTCAGGAAACTGGACACTGCATTTATGCTTCATTAAAGCTAAGAAGATCAGGCAGTGGCGACACACACCTATAATCCCAGCAGTGAGAAGCTGGGAGGTGATGGTACACACCTTTAATCCTAGGACTCAAGATTTTAAGAGATAGACAGATCTCTGGGAGTCCAAGGCCACCCAGGTCTAAACAAGAGTGAATCAGTCTAAAAGAGACTCACACCTTTAATCCCAACACTAGGGAAGTATATAAGACAGAAGCAATATCTCCAGCCACACTGAGAGGGAGCAGTTTGAGACTTGGTGAAGAGCTCGTGAGTGGATCAACCCTTTCAACCTGAGCTAGAGGCGAGAGCTAGTGGCAGGCTGCTTTGTTTTTCGGATATTCATCTTGAAGATTGAACCCCAATCAGACTCTGGGTCATTTATTAATTCGTGTTACAGGACACTAAAGGAAGCAATAAATCACATACTACTGA